TCGGTATATATATATTATTTCTTGGAAATTTGACGTTAGGAATTATTTTTTTTCTGCTTGTAATTTGAACTTAAGAATATAATACAGTACATATGTTTATATTTACACGAATTCTTATATTATTCATGTAAAGAGAATTTTTGAATATGAATAACTGTTATGTAAATTAAAGTAAGTAAGAAGGTAGAATCCGTAACCAATTTAACTTAGCATATTAATTATTACGATGCACTAGCGCGGCATCTGTTATCAAATTAGGAAACTATTTTAGACGCGTAATATTCTTTTTAAAATAAAACATTTTTTACTGCCCTTACTGCAATGGAATATCGAAGAGTAAAGCATCAGTATCAATATAAAAGGAAGTACCAAAAATGCAATATAACAGCGGTATGGTAGATTAAACTGGCGAAACCGCTGTGAGGGTTTACCATTGATGAGTCAGGCCCTCCCTTTAATTTTTCCATTGCAGTAAGGACAGTAGAAATTGTTTTATTTTAAAAAGAATATTAAGCGTCTAAAATAGTTTCGTAATATTATTTATTATTAATAACAATTATACATAACAAATCTTGGTATATGTTTTACGTGAAAACAACAAAAACATTGATTATTATATACATACAAGTTCCTTTCCAAACACGAGCTCATCTATAGTCATTGTTACTCTGTGTAATATTCCAACAATAAGTTCAATGTGAAAGGTAGAAATCATTTTTATAAATTATATTAATGGCCGAATAGACTTTTTTAAAATAAACATAAAATCCTATATGAAAAATAGTACCAATATGATATTGTACTGAGATAGGATGCATAAATTAAGAAAAAAGGCATCTCTTTATCTTATTATTCCTAAGATGCACTTTCAGTTTCACGAAAAGGAGATGCCTTTTTTTCATGATATCCTATGGTCATTAATGATGAGGATTATTCAATTTGTAGGGGAGAAAAATATATTTCTCTTTTCATGATAAAATTGTGAAAAAGGTTTTACAATTACAGAATATTTTAACACAATGATATATGAAAATATATAAAGCTATATTTTATATTTGAATAAAATAAGATCAAAGGTGATATAATTTTTTATCTATTAAATATAAGTTATAAAATCCAATAATAAGTATAGTATGGTATACCTATATATATATATATAGAGAGAGAGAGAGAGAGAGAGAGAGAGAGAGGTTGAGATTGAAACTGATTTATTACAAAGTCTATATAAGATTATATAAAGTTAAATACAGAATAAATATAAATATGAATAAATATGATTATATAATGAGAGAAAGAGAGAGGTATGTAATAAAGAGAAATATAATTTGTATATTTCTATACATACCGATTGGCTAAGAAAAACTCACACAATTTGTTCACACAGGATCCATATCAAGAGAATAAAAAAGATACCCGCCCCACCTATTTAGCAAATAAAAACAAGAACAAAGAATATAATTTGCATTAAATTTTCCAAAACTTTTAAATATTAAATTTTATATTGCCCCATAAAAATTAGAAAGGGTCTAATATAGAAAAAAAAACACTGGAGTGAATATTTAAATATTATTTTTTTTCCTAAGGCGTTCAAGAAAAGGAGATATTATTAAATAGGGAAAAAAGGTACAAAAATTGTAAATGATTTCTATATAGGGTTTTTCTTCAAGAATTTACCCTCAAGCCTCTTCCACAAGAATATTTTATTACTTTGAAAAGAGCAAAGTGGATTGCATTTTTTTAAATATGGAAGCAAATTAACCAAAATAATAAATAAAAATAACAATAAAAAAAAATATTTTCAAATGGATATACCTTAATGGTTGCAGAAGAAGCTATCGTTTTTATAGTTAGAATTTTAAAGAGTAAAATAATTAAATTGTAAATAGAAAATTTTAAAAGCCCTTTAAACTATTCTGTTATTTAAAAAAGACTAAATGCAATTTTAGGCAATTTGTTTTGTGAAATATTTACACAACTTCTCACAGAATCGTAAATAATATTATATCTATTCAACAAATTCTACATTGTGTGAAAAATTTACATTTTAGATAATTTGTTTTTATCTTTTCATTTTTACACCTTTCTGAATAAACTAGGTTAAATAATGCAAGAATTAGTCAAAAGCATTTGGCAGTTTAAGTTTAAATATAATAAAAGGTAAACAGAATAAGTGCAAGTAATCAAACATTCTCTTGTACCTTTTAATTGCTTTTTCGAACTACCGTTACTTGTACAGTAAAGGTTGCTAGTGATTTACCATGATTATTATAATATTATACAAGCGACATTTTATATTATAAGGTTGAGTAAAAGGTTCTTTAACAGCTGCGAAATATGCAACAGGGATGCGCTATTTGATGCTTCTACTTTGCATATATACCAACAGTAGTACCCGGTCTTGATCAAAACACTTTCTACCGGAAGAATGAAATCACTTCAATTTGATGATATATATATTAGCATATCCTTTAACATACCTATATACATAATCAGAAAGACATAACCCTTTATTTATACATCAGACCGATGTATCATGTTTATCACTCTAGGTTAAAAAATTATACTAGTGACGCGATGAAGTATAAGCCACATCACAAACTAATTTGCCATTATATAAAAGGGCGTACCTGGATCTGTAAAGAAATAAAAACAATTTTTTTCTTAAAATATTTCGAGAGGTGTCTCCCTCTTTATCAATTTATTGCACAGTAAACTTAATTTACAAATTATTGTAGATCACATGAAAACAAATTTGCCATTGGTCAAAAATAATTATTGATAATAATACATTAAAAAAATTAATAATGATAATAATATAATAAAATATTTTGAAAATTAAAGGCTTTAGTATTTTATAATGTTTTTGAAACAAAATGTAAGGAAATAAAAATAAGAAACAAATAAAGTTGACTGCGATTATTAGAAAAAAAAAGTTAAGTTAAAAGAGACACATAATGTTCGAGGATTTCTTCATATTCTCTCGAAATATTTTTAACAAAAATTGTTTTTTTTTTCTTTACAGATCCAGGTATGCCCTTTTATATAATCTTAATTAATGGATCGCCTTTTGACTCAAACTAATTTACCATTGTTTCGGTCTAAGGCCATCATCAGTACAGGAGAGATTTCGATTCCATAGCATCCCACGAGAAGAGTTATGACACTAGTCGAATATACTGAAAAGGTGTTTAAACTGGTGAAGTGACAAGGGCCGATTTTCAGACTGAATATATTATACATATGTATTGTTGCATATTGCTAATTCACCTATTTCATTTTAATATGTAATATTATGTTTCATATATTTTAAATTTCAAATTTATATTTCATATTTATTTATTTTATTAAACAGAATATATATATAATAAACAGATTTATGTATTATAGAATCATCATTTGTATTTAGGTACACTATGTGACTTCACTGCTCTCTTTGATGTGAGAAATAAATAAATAATTCTGGAGGCTACTTAAAGTAGAGTTATCTCATTATTCCCTTATATAATTTTGTAGGATGGTTGAAACACGCCCTGGTAAGATACAAGACCCAGCACAGGAGAGAATCAAGGTTGAAGAGTGCCAAAAAAGCCGCAACCTGGTGCAACAATATATTACCAACAAAAGTGAGAATATTATTTAATAAATTCCCCTAGCTCTTTACTACCTCATTGTACACTTATACAGGCAGAGAATTTCATCCAATTTGATCACCTCTTCCATATATAAGTCATATATGTTAAATGGTTGTAATTTGAAGTTATGTAAATATACATATATGAATCTATTGAGCAGCTTAAGATTCATTTCATATTTGATATTCTCGTAGAAGAGTCGTTATACCCTCGAAGTGTTGGTAATAAAAGAAGACATTTATCCTTGGAGACTTATTGTTGATTGTGATTGTGATCAAAGGACTCTAACCATTTAAACCTAGATAAAGTTAAATAACAGATATTCCTGAATAATAAATATATTTGATATTGTTTTGAAAATAGAGCAATCCAGAGATAAATATTTAATTAAAAAGGCATATATTGGATCAAAAAATGGTAAAATAAAGGTTTTTTGATTCAATATATGCCTTTTTAATTAAATATCTGATATTGTGATTCAAAATTTAAAAAAAAAAACAATTTGACGACTAAGTAATAGTTATATTGACACAAAATCGGTCATACACGTGTGTTTGAATATTATATGTTAAGTTAGTAATTATTATTATTTTTTTAATTCATAGAAGCATTTTCCTGGCAGACATATTCAAATTTTATCATCATCATTTATTTTCTTTGTTAGTTATCAAATCATTTGCAATTGTAGTTTCTTTTTTGTTTTGTTCGTGTTCCGTTTCAAACACACAATAAAATATATAGAACTAAAAGTGTAATATCCAATTCAAGCATATGGAACCAACATCGATTCATTTTTAAAACAAACAAAATCATAAGCTTATACAACCTTCACTTTTTCATATAACGTAAATAATGAGAATTCAAATAAATAGTGTCAAAGAGTTTTCAAATTTACACATTAAAAAAAAAATCTATGATTAAAAATGGCTCTGTGAGAGCTAACCGAAATTGAAACGATTTGACTAATTTCATGGATTTTTGGTTCAGCGTTGGCGATCGGGTATTAATATTTTTTATGACCTAATTATGGTTGTATACGTGCTGTCATAAAATGCCATGTGCGGTGAACCTGGTTTATTCCCCAATTTCGAAAAAAATACATGAATAAAAACATTACTTATTAAAATATCATTATTGCGCTATTCTCACTGTATACTTTGCTTTAATATAGGTAAATATATAATTAATATTACAATATAATGCAGCTTATGATTGTAAAACGACATTTGAAATACTATCCCGCATGTGTTTCTTTTCAACGAAAAATCAAAATTTATTTCAAGGAGAAATAACGATTATTTCTAACCTTTTGGATGAGGTATGAAAGGGTGAATTGTAAAGAGTAATGATAAACAGAAAAATAAAAGTGTCCAGGGGTTGGAATCGAACCCACAGTGTTCCGCTTACCGGGCAGATGCCATGTCCACTACCACAGGGTAGCCACCCTGGACATATTTTTCCGTTCGTAAATAATACATAAAGTATTTTATTGCGGGATAGTATTTCAAATGTCGTTTTAAATATATAGTTATTATCCCCCCCCCCCTCAACATAATTTCACTAATATAATTTTAATTGATTATAATCTAGTTTTCTCACCGATTACTATTTACGTTAGCTATGTAGATATTTCTAAAATAGAGGTTAACATAATTATAATTTGAAATAAAATAGTACAAATGTGACATTTTACTGGGATAAGGTTCATAAGTAAAGAAAAAAGGCATCTCCTTATCGTGTAACTGAATGCTCTAAGTCATCAGCAACTTTCAGTCGCACGATAAGGAGATGCCTTTTTTATAAATATAATTACCATATAGAATTTATAAATAAATAATATAGCCAGTTATAAGTACACTAATACCTATCTTTGCGTCGTTTCGTTTTGCGTTTTTTTTTTCGAAGTTGCGTCGCTGCTTAATTTTTACTGATTTTCACTGTGCGTCGTTAGATTTTCGAAGTTGCGTTGTTTTGGATTCGAGTCTTTAATTTTTTTTCCTAAAATATGGCAACACCTTTGTTTTTAATTGCGCCTTTACATATTTTCACTTTGCGTCGTTTCAATTTGCGTCGTGTTTTTTTTTTTTTTTGGAACGCAATCCCGACGCAAAGCGAGGTATGGGTGTATGTCAAAATTTAATTTTACATAATTTATTCAAAATATAGCTTCTACAAGAGAGTATAAAGCGATCCATTGATTATAATTATATAAAAAGGAGTACCTAGATCCTTGAAAGAAAAATATTTTTTTGAACAGAATATTTTGAAGTCCCTCTTTATTAATATATATTAGTAAAAAATACTATTTCGATATAATGATGAAGAGATATCAACGTTTAATTTGTTTTTCTTTCACAAACCTAGATATACCTTTTATAAAATACTCTACATGTCAATTTGGAGAAGTTATCAGAAACAAAACAGTTTAAATTTTATTATTCGAATCAATAGGTTTTTAATCTCTCGAAATATTTTGAGAAATAATTGTTTTTTTTTCTTTCACACATATCCAGGTACGCACCTTTTTATACAAACTTACTTCAATCTAAAAGATTTTGTATAGTTCATTCGATATTTTATGTAAATGTGAAATCCTCTTTTTCGAAAACGGTGAATTTTTTAAACTGAAGTTGAAAACAATAGAGATTAGAATTTCTTATGGTTTTATCCTGAGACATTACCTGTTCAATATGAGATGTTTTAGTAAATAAATTCCCCGTTCTATAAATACACGTGGTACAGGCCATGATAATCATGGTGGGTAGAAGCAGGCGATTGCTTTTATTGTAAATGCACCCCATATCTACACATGTGAAAAGCAGCTCGACTTTGCACTTACAAATGTGCCAGAGCCCCGTTTGGTTACTTGCACTCGCTAGTGGGGTTGACCCTTTGCAAGAACGAGGACCGTTGGTGCATTTTTTTTTTTAATCAGAAAAAAGTCCCAATACGCGAATCAAACCCGGGTGCGGTCAAAACCCAACGGTTTAGATCATCCATATTATTTTAACATTATTTATATTCATGCCTATAATGTATCAAATTCTATTTGCAGATCCCCTATGGTCAGAATTTTGCGTCACTAGTTTCAACCATTTTGGACAATACCATCGTTATGTGATTTAGGGCTTCTAATATATGCTATTCTAAGATTCTATGAATATAATTGTTCATATTCGTCAGATATAAATATATTATATAATCTAAACTTCTCAAATATTTCTATTTTTTAAAATATATATATTTTATTCTTATTTATTGATATTTCTACTTTTTATCATCGTTTTTAGAATGACTTTCAGTTTTGTTGTAAATGTGCTTAGTTAACATATCTATCCTTTTAAATCACTAATATAGGATTAACTTTATAGATTCTATATAATGTGAAAATAACTAATGTGTAATATTTCCTCAAGTAATTGAAAATAAAAGCTGCTTGATGGTAAATAATTATCTTTTTTCTTATCAAGACTGCGCTTCAACCCTTTATCTTATCGATCCTTTGTCTTATCAAGCCTTATCTAACAACAAATAAATTATTCATAACATGTATATATATATAATATGCTTAAACGATTAGGAACTCTTAATAATTGGTTTAAACGCATAAGCATAAAAATATAAGAGGAGCTTCTTTTATATATTTTATTATTATTATTATTTTTTTTTAATATATTTTTTAAAATATAATATGCGTTTTTATATATATAATATGCGTCTGAACTGGAGGCTGTTGTTGGTTTATAAGAGTATAGGAGTATGGAGTATAGGAGCTCCCTCTTTGCATCCTTTCTGCGTATATCCGTATAGGAACAGTTGTCTTAAAAATTCTGCATGTATATAAAATATTTTGAAGAGAAAACGAATATAAATATTTGATAAAAATCGAAAACCCTAATGAATTAAGAGGTGAACTAACAAAAATAAATTCTAGAATGTGTGAAATGTTAAAGTTCTTGGGGGAAAAATCAAAGAAAGGATTTAGAGAAGTGAGGTAGAACTCTGCGGGCAACTTATGACTGAGACGTGAGAGTTATGAAACCTTTATAAGTTGTGGTAGAGGGGGAACATGTATTCTCCAATTTACCGAACAACCCTATAACCATTAACTTGAATTACAAATAACTTCCAGAATATTTCTCCAATATAGAAAACACATAGGTTCGGTTTGATGAGAGAGAAATTAATAATTAATATTTCATATTGAGAAAACATATTAGATGAGAGTGTTGAATCTTTAATTATTTGTTTAAATATTTGTTTATTTGTTGCTATTTCATCGATAGGCATTAATCTATAATGCAGAACTACAGAGGATCTTTGTGTGGAATATCTGCCATTCCTATGTTCATTGCACTTAGAGATTCCACATTTATTGGGGCCAAACAGAGGATACTTCAGGCTTTGGATATGATGTTGACAATATTTACATAGTTGTTTCTTAGTTAAAACTTCATCAGATTTCATTTTCAGGCAATACCTTTTTATATATGAATGTCAAATTTTTCGAAACTATTTTAAACGCGTAATATTCTTTTTGAAATTAAACAATTTCTACTGCCCTTACTGCAATGGAAAAATTGAAGGGAGGGCCTGGCTCATCAGTGTTGAACCCCCCAGCGGTTTCGCCAGTTTAATCTATCATGCCGCTGTTATATTGCATTTTCGGAACTTCCTTTTATAGTGATATTATTACTAGACTCTTGGAATGGGTATTTTAGAAGAACTATGGACATAAGCTTTGAGGACAGTAGATATATGTAACAGCGGTATGGTAGATTAAACTAGCAAAACCGCTGGGAGGGTTCACCACTGATAAGCCAGGCCCTTCCTTAAATTTTTCCATTGCAGTAAGGGCAGTAGAAATTGTTTAATTAAAAAATATATATATTACGCGTTTAAAATAGTTTCGAATTTTGATAACAGATGGCGCGCAAGTGCATCATATATGAATGTCGAATAGATATACCAGCATATATAACAATTCGTTTTAGGATCGTTCAAATTATCTATAATTGTACAAGAACTTATATTTGCGGCGGGATGATATTCACCAAACTTCTCTCACACACGAGGCACCTCTACCTTTGATTGTGTACCAGAACAATTGATCATGTTTATCAACCTTTTATATAAACTTAATCGTAAAATTTAAATCTAATAATCAAAAGCCATATATTTATATATATATATGAAGATCTTCTGAACAAATACAAAATGTATTCAGAGAGTTAAAATAAATCAAAAATCAGAACTGATCTATATAGAAAATATGTTAAACAAATTGAATGCAAACTAAACATGATAAATAAAATTGTATTTTTCATAATATATATTATAAAATATATAATTATTATTAATCAAAAAATTAAATACCAATAAATATTGCTGTAGTATATCAGCACGTTAGTATGTATTTGGTTTTAGATATTAATATTACCCAGAGTTTATGATGATATATATATATATATATATATATATATATATATATATTGAAAAAATGAGATTTTCTGTGTGATTTTGATTATCTTGAGGATTATGCTAAGGTAATGCAGTCGTGGTTGATATCTTGAAAATATAATAATAAAAATAGTTTTGATCAGTAATTGCTCTAATTGAACTAAAAGAATATATTAAAAACATAATTTGATAAAAGTACTACCTGGCTTGAGGCGTAAGAATAAAAAAAATGGAAAACTTATTTGCATAATGTACAAAAGGTTTGAGCAGGACATCGGGAAACAACGACAATGAGCTTTTATAGGGGGAGCGTGGCCTCTGGCGAGCGATTTAGCAGAGTATTTGAATCTATGAAATATAATTTTAAATAAAATAATATTTTAATATAGTAACATTTATCTGGTATTTTTGTGTTATGATATGAAAAGTTGTTTTTTTGTTGGACATTGCATTAACTATGTTTGTTGTTCATGTTACAAATGAAGAAGTATCTTGTCGATTCTCCTTGAAGCGTTATTACAATTATAATTGATGTTGAAACCTTTTTTGTTTTTAATATAAATTGAGAAAAGAGAGAAGTCAAGCTTGAAAACTTTATTTACATTATTAAGATTATATTTTTATCTTCCGCACATATCTCTTTCTCGAAACTATACCATCCTATCATAGAAATCCTATCAGACAGCACTATAAAGATATGTAAGATCAAATACATTGTATGATTACGTTAGGTCAGCTATATTGTGAAGAAGAAATAATTTTTAACTTACTTTATTATGCGGGTAACAGTTACCTAAAAATTATTCGAAAAAGAAAAAAAAAACAATATTAAGGTCAAGGGTTTCTTTTAATTTTGATTTTAGCAAGCTTTCGAAAAAAAATTAAAGATATATTTAAAGATATGACATCCATTTCACTTCATAGTTCAAAATTCATCAAGTTTTCAAATTCAATTATGCATAATGGTGAATGTATTAGAGAAATATTAGC